ATAAGCTCCCAAAAAGTGGAAGCGGAGGCGTTGACCTCATATCTGTTGAAGAATTAACTGGCAACTCATAGCAACTGGCTTAATCTTCAGTGTCTGGTTGGCTGCAAAATTGAAGTATGGTGATTTATATTGATGTCCTAAGTCCCATAGACTCCTCTTTATTTTGGTGGTCAATATTTCTGTCTTTTTTCGGCCTTTGTCAATTTTTTTTACTTAAACATGAAAAAAAAATAATAAAAGCATATTCAGGGTTTTAGTTTTAAGATACTTTGAATAATTTTACATTAACATTTTCACTATAAACATTTTTTGAATCTTCAATTATAATTCTCTTAAATTTTTTTGGCTGAAGTGGGTCTTGTTGATAAGCAATAGAAAATCATCACATTTTACCACTCTTCAGCTACCTCTCCCTCTAATTAATAATAATAATAAAAAAAGAATTTTCCTGCTTACTCTAAGAACTATGAACTAACAACAAAAGAAATGGAAAACAAAAAAGTGATATTAAACTACCTTTTTAAAATTTGGTTGAGTGAATATTTGGGATGTAATACCTGAAATTTTTTTTCATTATAAAAAAATTTGGTTTAAGGCTTTAAGCTTTTATTTTTGTTGGCAAATTTGTTTTATTCGATTTGATTTTTTCCCATCAAATAAGATTATCCAATTACAAGGCAAATAGAAATTGCGTCAACAAATAATTTAACAAAAATAATTATTAGGTTATTTGATGGAGGTTCTCAGTTTGATCTCACTTGTAACATCATATTATTAGTACATGCCCATTGAAACAATAATTGCAAAATTTGGAGAGAAAAATAAATCAATAGTAAAATATCAGAGTTAAAATAATTTTAAGAAATGAAATTAATGAGGTGTGTGAAATGAGACTGAGAAATTGAAAAGGAAAAAAAATAATGAAAGTGTACTAAGATTGAAATTATAAATGAGGCTAAGATAAAGATTAAATATATATATATATATATATATATATATAGTCACGGAGATCTCAAATAATTACTGTAAATAAATTATTAAGTTCATAAAAATTTATTAATTTATTTAATTCATAAAATATATATATAGGACTTTTTATGCATTTTAAAAACCTCGATTAAAATCTGCCATTTTATGATTTTAATAAACTTTTATTGATTTGGTAAGTTAAATCTAAATCTTTTCATTCATTGAAGAATATATGCTATTTTTACAGACTTTTCAATTTTTTAAATAATCCAACGGCTCCAATCATTCCAACGGCTCTTAAATTGTCCAACGGTCAAATCTCCCTCGCGAATTAAATTCTTCGTTCTGTTCTCTCTCTCCTCAAATTATAGCCGTTACTTGCTACCAACGCTTCGCGACGTTCTCAATCAAATTTTCTCAGATCACTTCTTGATTGCCCTTCCTTTCTCGTTAATACTCTCATTTCTCTCTCTCTATTCTGCATCGCATTCATTTCATCGATGGCTATGCCTTCAAACAGGTCTTCGTCTTCTTCTTTAGCAGCAGCATCAAGCAGATCAAACCCTAATTTGAGAAACTCAGAAATCAGTAACTCTGTCAGAAGGAGTTTCAGTGGAAACCCATTCCAGAAACCTTCTATCATCGCAAACCCTCGTAGTTTCAACCCTTATACTCCAGCCAATAGTCCTTCAGGTTTTACTTATCTACTTATTCAATCATTCATATTTTTCATTTTTGTGATTTCATTATTTTTATATTATGAATTATGAATAAATGGCAATAGTAGTCTGGTTGTCCGCTAAGAAAATGCTTGAAAATCAATCTGCTCCTCTTCCCGGACAGTATGCGAGCTTTGTTGGAAATTTAGTATTTCTTGGTGTTCATATGTATTTCTTTCTTTATATTTGCCGTTCGGTCTCTGTGAAACTGTGGGAAAATTTATAAATTTATTCTCTTTACTAGAGGTATGAATTTTTCGAATCAAAATATACATTTAATGATGCTGGTTTGGGGATTTCTTTACTCATCATCATGACTGTTTTGAATTTTTTGTAGATTTCCCACGAAGAAACTCTATTGGTGGCAGAGAAAGCATAGGGTCGCTTGGTGACCTTGATGACAAAGAAAATGGGAAAGAACATGTTCTCAAGTCGTCAAAGGTTCGATCTCCAGCTGCTTCAACGAAGGGCATGAAAAATTTCATGACTCCAACTATATCTGCTTCTTCTAAGATCACAGAGTCTCCAAGAAAGAAAGTGCTCACGGACAGGAATGAGCCAGCAAGAACTTCATTTTCCTCCGCGGAAGGGAAAAGCCCCAGTCGAAAGGTTACTTTTGGAGATTCTATTGATGAGAAAAAGTTCCAAAATTTTTCTGATGGGATCATCAAGGAAGAGACACATAAGCATAAAAGCCCCATTCGCAAGGTAACATTCGCAGATTCTGTTGAAGAGAAGACGTTTCAGCCTTCGCCTGATGAGGTCAGCGAAGAGGACAGGGATGAACATACAGCTTCCTTGGTTTCTGAAGATTTGATAGCCGAAGCCAAAAGCCCTAATCCAAATGTGGCATTTGCAGATTCTATTGAAGAGAAAAAGTTTGAACCTTTTACTGATGGGTTCATCAAAGACGACGCAGAGGAACATACGTCTTCCACTGTTTCTGAAGATTTGAAAGCTGAAGGCTTGGATTCACATAATGAAACAGAATCAGCATGCGAAGCTGTGACTAATGAACCTGATTGTGTTAATCTTGATCCATCTTTTAGGCTTAGTCCTACCCCACCTCCATTTTCTTCGACCTCTACAGTCATAGCTCCTCTTGATGCTGATCCTCTTATTCCTCCATATGATCCTAAAGCTGACCCTTTGATTCTTCCATATGATCCTAAAGTGAATTACCTTTCTCCAAGACCCCAGTTTCTCCGCTATAAACCAAACCCAAGACTTCAGCTTTACAAAGAAAGGGAGTCTATGAAGTTAGATGACGGCTCTTCAGATACAGAACTAACAGAGGAGGCATTGTCTGGTGGGTCAGAGAAGGAATCAGAAGTTTCTTCGGATGAAATAGCAAGTGAAGATCAGAATCATGTTTCTGAAGCAAGTACTATCAACAGCACACTCACGCCGGAGGACGAAATTGCTGAAGCAAAGGAGTTGCTAAACCAGGCTTCTCCATGAGATCAAAAGCCTTTGCGCTGCTTTTGCTTCTCTCGGTTGCTTCTTTTTCAATCTCATATACAAATCCACAGGTCTTTGATCCATTGCTTAAAGAACTCACCACTTGGTCTCGGACTTGTGATTCCTCTGAATTTTACCAGTTTGCAACTGCCAATTTTGATCGTTTTTCACAGTTAGCAAAAGATAATTTGGATGGCTTAAGTCGAAATTTTCATATCTGGTTTACCAAATGGATGTCCTCAACTTCAAAATTGATTTCATCATTTAGAGGAGTGCAAGATTCTGGTCACTTGCATTGGAACCTGACTGATTTGACAGAAAATACTGAGGTTTATCAATTTCCTACATTTGTTCAAGATGGAAATCTAATACGAGAAGCTCCGCAGGTGGATATTCCAGTATTGAACGTTGAAAAGACTGATGATTTCACTGACACCTCTAGTGATGATGATATTGGAGATATTATTATGGCAGATCATTATGCTTCAGCATATGAAGAACAAGTAGTTCAGGAACTGGATCCAGTCCCTGACAATGATGCTGTCAAGGAGATTGATACTGATGCAGTAGTAATTGCCGGAGTTGAAAGTGCTTCACCTGCTTCAAAAATTGAGGAGGCTAGTGAACCCAATCAATCAGAAAGTAACACTGATTATCCGGTCTCAGAGAGTTCATGAAATTCACACTGAAGTTGAAAATGCCTCACCTGCTTCGGAAATTGGAGCGGTTAGTGAACCCAGTCAGTCAGAAAGTAACACTGATTATCCAGATTCAGAGGCTCATGAAATTCATACTGAAGATTTTGAAGCTAATAATTTACAAGCAAAGCAGACTCCAGAGAAGGATGCTGAAACTGGCAGTGTAGACCTTAAAGATCAGTCAGATTTAAGCTCTGAAGTTTCTGAAACTGCTGAAATGCATACAGACAGCGAGCCCGCGTCTGAGATTAATACAGTGCATCAAGATGTGCAATTGAAATCAGAGGAAAAATATCTTGTACCAGTTATTGTTGCCTCTATCCTTCTCTTTCTATCCATAATCGCAGGTGCAGCATTCAAGTTCTTGAAGAAGAAAGATGAAGGAAGAAGAAGAATGGCTGCTACCAATACCACTTCTATGGAGCAACCTCCCATGACTAAGGCATTGCAAAAAGAGGAGACCTTTTCTTCGCTGGAAAGGCCATTTCTGAGGAATAGCCCTATAGAAATGGAGGTTCTTGGAGAGTCATACCCTTCAGAAATGAGCAGCTTTGAAAGGAGCTCATCTCATTATTACAGCCAAAGGGTAGTGAGGGAGCAGAATGAAGCCCAAAGCCTGGAGAAGAAGCCAAAGAGGAACTACAGGAGAGAATCTCTCGCTTCTTCTGCAGACTCCATGGGCGGTTCTGCATCCTATGGAAGCTTCACCACTTACGAAAAAATCCCAAAGCCTGTGAGTTTTCTTCTTCATTTATTGGCTTCTGGTTCACAACACACACATATATAAATTGTTATATGCGAAGAAATATTATTTGATTGTTGTTTTGTTTCTTTCAGGGACATGGAGATGGAGGGAGTGTGACGACTGTGACTCCTGTGAGGCGTTCAAGCAGGATTAGGAGCTTAGCCAATTCGCCTTTGTGAAGATGAAGATGATGCCCCCAGCAATTTAACATTGTGAATGATGTTAATTAGTGTGGTGTGCTGCTAGGTTATGATTTGTTTAAGCAGAAGAAGCTCTTATCTTCTGAACCGAATCGTTGTATGTGAATGACTGGTGGATTATTATGATTATCATTATTATTACTCTTCACTTTATTTGGCATTTCCTCTTTCCTGTTTGGGTGGGAAAACAGGAGAAGAATAATTAATCTCCTTGGATAGGAAGCGTTTGGCAACCCTTAAAAGTGTTTTTAAAAAGCACTTTTCAGCAAAATAAGGCAAATTGTAAAAGCACTTTTAAAACTATAGTTTATTCTCAAGGTGGAAAATTAAGCATCATCCAAACACCCCTAAAATGAAGCTGATTTATCCCAGACAGGTGAAAAATAAAAATTGGGAAAAGCACTTAAAATTTGATTTTTTATTTTATCCTTAAGGAGCACTTAAAAGGAAAAATCATAAATAAAGACTGTGGAATTAGAAAAATTACACACAGGAACCGGTTCACAAAAATTGTTATCAAAACCCATACTAATATTGTCATGGGTCCCAATTTGTGATCTTTCTAATTCCACAGTCTTTTTTTGTGATTTTCCCTACTTAAAATTTTGTTTGCGTAAAAGTAGTTAAACTATAAAATAATGTAGCACTAAATAGAGAGAAATTTTTTTAAAAAAAATAATTAAATAATAAATAATTTTTTTCCAACTTAGCTCATTGTGTTTTTTTCCCTATGAGGAAATACCTCCCAATCCTTGCCTCCAAACTTCATATTTTGGGAAGCTTGTTCTGACATTAGTGTATTTTAAAATTAGATTAAAAATAGTAAACAATGAGAATGATATTTTTGATGATCCGTATCTACAATATTATTGTATTAAGTTTTATTATTTTAAAATTAGAAGGCCGTTGCAATTTAAAGTAAATTTGATTCAGACTTCTTTTTATACCAACCATAATTGGTAGAAATGATTCCTAACTAATAAATTTAAATTTTAGAAGATTGTGATCCCGAAAAAAGTTAATATTATCTGTATGTGAGATCTATCTTTTTTTTAATATTTTTGTTAAAAAAAATAATCCATCCCATAAACAATAATATAAAATAGAAAATAAAACAAAACGCTGTCGTTTTGGAGTAACAGCGAAGATCCCTTCAGAAAGGGCCGATCCCTCCGGGATGCGTTAATTAGGAAACTATATATACCGATGTGGATTCTCCTGTTCCCGACGAAATCGAAAACCCTGATAAGCTTCCTCGCTTGGGAAGCCTTCCTTTCGTCTTTTTAGTCTTGTGGAAAAGTTTCGGTAAATTCCCTTTTCTCTCACTCACCCTTTTCTCTTCCTTGTCTCTTATTTTTGTTCGGTGTGTTGATTTTGTTTTGTTTTCCGGTTTTGCTCCTTTCCCTCTATCATGTTTTTTTTCCTCGGTTGAGTGAGCGATGTTATCTGTAGATTGTGATGTTTAGTTGTTTGAAATTTTCAGTGATTTATCGCCTTGGGGTTTCATCATGGCCAAGAGTGCTTTCAAGCTTCAAAATCCATTGGGTGCGTTCTATTTTTACAATTTGATTATTGGATTTTTTTTTTGGGGCCAAATACAATTTGATTATTGGAGTTACACTAGTTCTGGTACTGTTTGTGGTTTATTTATAGTTTAATTGAATTACATGATTTTAATGCTGCATAAAGTGGAAAAGTACTGGACTGATATGGTCAGTCTAAACCTTCATTTGAACGTCTAAATTAGCGAGTGTTGATAAGAAAGTTTAAAGCTTTTTGCTGGAACTTGGAACCTTGTGAGCCTTTGGATTCAGGAATTTCTTATTCCTGCAAGAGAGGATAATCTTTTCGAAATCATGGGAGTATATTTTCTAGTCTTCACAGATAGAAGGATGCCTGTATTTTTTTCTTTAAAAAAAAAAGCTTTATTGGTATCTGAGACTCTTTTCCTAGGTTATTTATTATATCAGTTTCAGTGAATATTTTCTTTCGAGCATGAGTGTATGATCTTTACATTCTTTCGTTGACCCGATTGTTTTTCCTCCAGCTATTTTGAAAATTTTATTTTTGACACTCAACATTTGAAAATACTTGTACTGAAGGAATGCCAATGATTTTCTGGAGAACCAGGACTGATGGTTCTAAGTTCTAATCTCTCCTTAAATTTTTTAGCTGGTTGTGTGTTGGAAATCATTTGATCTATCTGGGATCTGTCTCTGTTTTTCAGAGAGGAAAAGGCTGAGCTTTGGTGGCTTACCCGGTTTTACAAATCAGATAGTATTCTGCTTCAAAAGAATTACTTGGTTCTTTCTATATGTGAATTGTATAAATGATAAGGGGGATGAGCAAATATGTTTCAATTATTAAGTTGGCAAGTTTTTGAATCTATTAGGCTATTTTTCTGTGGAATTTTTTTCATTCTTTCTGCTTTTGGTTACATATAAAGCACTTGGTGTCATCTTAGTACGGTGCTGCCCATCTTGTCTGATTTAACGTTGGGTTTAATTGGAGTTATCTGCATGAAGCTTTCAGCTTCGAGCTTCAAGGCTATATCTTTTGTTGCAACATTATTTTGCTTCATTTTTTTTTTGTTACGCCTTTCAATTGCTTTGTTTAGTGCATTCCTCGATTTTTCATTGTCTCGTATATTTCAGAAAAAAGGCTGGCGGAATCTGCTCGCATCAGAGAGAAGTATCCTGATAGAATCCCTGTAATACTACCATCAAGTTTAAATTGTTAGCTTGTTTGTGTTTTCCAAAAGAACTGCTGTTGAAATCCAGATTTTGTGTGCAGGTGATTGTGGAGAGAGCTGACAGAAGTGACATTGCAGACGTTGATAAGAAGAAGTAAATGCTTTTGTGCCATTTATACCTCTTTGTTTCAATCATTACATTTAACTTTACAAGTTACTATTTTAATGCCCATTCTGAGTTTCCTTTGAGATTGTTCTTATCTGACTGATTCCAATCGAAGTTCGGCAAGTTTAAGTACCATTACCATATAAGACAGATGAGATTTCAAATTTGGAATATCAAAGCTTACTTTATTTTCATGTTTTCTGTCTATCAAAGGATGAGATCATTAGTTTCTTATTTGATCAATATGGATTGATGATCTGGTTCTCAGTTCATTTATTGATTCTCACATAATTCTGTTCTCATTTGGTCATGACTTCAGATACCTTGTTCCGGGTGACTTGTCTGTCGGTCAGTTTGTTTATGTTATACGTAAGAGGATTAAACTGAGTGCGGAGAAGGCTATATTTGTTTTCATCAACAACACTCTACCTCCGACTGGTAAGTGGTGATGCTTCATACTTAGTATTCTAGAGCTTATCTTATGAACTCAACCTCTTGTTATCGCAGGTGCATTGATGTCTGCTACTTATGAGGAACATAAGGATGAAGATGGCTTTCTTTACATGACTTACAGTGGAGAGAACACCTTCGGATCCCATTAGGCCCAACTTATGATGACCTCTGTGAATAGCATTTGCTAGTTGTTAATACTTCTCTTTTTAACATTTTATCCTATATTATTCTGCATTTTGACCATATCCTAAACTGTGGTATTTTATATTGATGATCAATTATTAGGTGCGGTTTATTTATACCCATTTCACTATATTATCATTATTGTGACGTGGTGTTCTCTTGCTTTCAATTGTAAAATAAGGTCTACTTTGATATGCTTATAGCTGAAAGTTGAGTATAGGTTAATTGATCTGTGTTTTCTCGTCTGCATTTTTTCAGACTGAAACTCAATCATAACCTCTTCATTTTTCTAATTTTGCTGAATAATGAGTTGTGCATATTGTCTATGGGCGACATTGATTCTCAGAAGAACTTCGCTTTGTTATCATGTTCATTAGTAAAAGAAATTAATCATTTGATTTTTATAATTTTGTTTCAAAATTGTCAATGTAATTTTTTAATGTTCAAATTTTTAAGCATTAGTCTTCTTTATATTTTCTGGAAGTTAAAATTTTACCTTGTTACAATGATAAACTATTCCTCCGGTCCTTAATATAGGACCCAATTGGTGAGTTGGTTTTGGTCCTAAATATAAGACCCATTTCTCATATTTATCAATTATCTCTAAATTACCCTTATGGATACTCGTTCAACCATAATCAAGTAAAAGAGAAAGATGGAGTATTAAGAAATATGATTATGGTATTTTAGAAAAAACGTGTCATATTTTTTATAATTAACTAACTTACCTAATTTCTTTAATCTAATCAAATTAGTTAAATGGGTCTTATATTAAGGACCGGAGGAGTATTATAATGGGGTCAATGTTCAACTGAGGGCCAACAAATTTGCACAAGTGGTCGGCACCGTAAGAGAAGCTTCTGACTTGGCTCTAAAAGAAGAACAAACAATGATGCCATGTTTTGAACTGTAGAACCCTTTTGAATGCTTTGCTTTGGTAATTAGGGGTATAGTTTTAAAAAAATTTATCAGAATTCCAGGGAGAAAAAAAAAATTAACAAAATCTGGCTATCGTTGGTTGGGAAGGAAGAGTCTAGTCCATGTGTTTTGTGAGGTTTCCATCCAAGGCCAATCCTAATGAACGTGATTTACATGGATGATTTTCCCAGCAAAGTAAGAACAAAGAAAATAACAAGTGAAACGAAACAAAGTCCCTTAAGGACCACCAAAAAAGTGATCCATTTTGAACACAAGATCGTTGGCATCATGAAATAGACCAGTTGTGTAATTACATTTACAAACATTCCACACAAATACATATGTGATTCATTGGAATCTACCTTGTTCTGTGGCATTTCTGTTTGATCCATTTGACAGAAGAACAAGTCCCTCTTCTGATCTTCTGCACACAACCCACTGCAGCTGTTTTGGTTTTGGAAACAAAACCAAACTTGCCTTTCTTGTTCTTGGCTGTATCGTTTTGAGATTTCATGCCATCATCTTCCATAGCACCAATCCCTCCTGCTCCCCACTGATCAGCCCAACTTGGTGCCTCACTCCCCATGTTTCTTTCTTATTGCTGCCATGAAAGAACCAAGATTAAGCCCCACAAACAAACACCTTTAGAACTCCAACGAAAATCTTGAATCTGACCAAAATATTTCTCAAGAAATCAACTGAGATGGCTGAAAATAAATGTGGGTATTCAAGAAAT